GTTATTTTTTGTAATAAAGGACTTACCCCTCTATCCTTAGCCAACGAGCAATGGCAAAACCCGGCAGTACAGAGCATTTCCGACCGGGAGACCGTATGGAAGGAGAAGGAGCTCCACGGGAGGTTCTACAAGGCTCTACATGAGCCTTTCGTAGATACAGTTGCCTCCCTCCACTGGCTACGTTTTGGTGACCTCTTCGGGGAAACCGAGGGTTTTGTCTGTGCAATACAGGATCAGGTTATTAAGACCAACAACTATCGGAGATACATCCTAAGGGATGGTACCGTCGACATTTGTCGAGCTTGTCGCCGTCCTGGTGAATCACTTAGGCATGTCATCTCCGGTTGTTCGGCGCTTTCTAACTCTAAGTACTTGCATAGGCACAACCTAGTAGCCAGGATTCTACACCAGGAGCTCGCTCTGAAATACGGTCTCGTGGATCGGAAACTGCCTTATTATAAGTACATGCCGGAAGCCGTGCTCGAAAATGACCGCGTCAGGCTCTACTGGGACCGGGCCATCATCACAGACAGGACCATTCTTGCGAATAAGCCTGATATTATGCTGATGGACCGGGCACAGTCAAGGATATTTTTGGTCGACATTACCATTCCGTATGACGAGAACCTCGTGAAAGCCGAAACAGATAAGCGAACAAAATATCTGGACCTGGCTCACGAGGTGACCGACATGTGGGGTGGACTGCCGGCCGAAATTATACCTGTAGTCGTTTCTGCGAACGGGTTAATCCCAGTCAGCCTCTCTGGTCATCTGAGGCGACTGGGACTCCGTGACGGACCGCTCCAAGCTCAAATGCAGAAGGCGGTGCTCCTCGATACCGCCCGCATCGTCCGCCGGTTTCTTTCCCTTTCCCCCTAACCCTCGGCCGTTTGGTCTCCCCTGCCGAGGGCTTCCATCTGGTTGGGTTTTTATTTATTTATGTATTTTTTATGCATTTATTTTATTTTGTTGATATTTATGTATGTTTATCATTTTCATTTACAATTATATATTTATACAGCCCAACCAGATGAGTAAACTATATAGATGCCCCAAATAATAATAATAATATTCCACAACTATCACACAACGCCATCTAGTCCCAAGCTAAGCAGAGCTTGTGTTATGGGTACTAGACAACTGATAAACATACTTATATATTTCTAAATACATAAATATTATAGATAAATTACATTATAAGGGTGACAAACGAGCACACAGTCCACCTGATCGTAAGTGTTTGCTGCGGCCCATAGACATCTACATCTATCCTCTATTACAAATCAAAATGCAGATGCGTTGTCACCCGTGAGGACTAAGATGGAATGCCTCATTTCCAGTAAAAAGGGCCTCCGGCCACCTGCACTCACCAAGCGAAACGCAGAGGTAAACCTCTACTTCACGCTGGTATTCTGTGAGATCGTGGTACCACCCCGGTTCGAGCCGGCCCATCCGTGCGACAGCAAAAGCTGCCGCGTGGCTCTACCACTGTTAGACAAAATGCGACAAAACCTTAATAATATAAAACATCGATTATTTGAAAAAAAAAGGGAATCCTATAAGACCCACTTATAGGCACTATTAAGTAAACCATGAATTACATTGAGATAAACTCAATTATATTGTACAACGTTCGCCTGTTAATGTTTTATAAATATTAAATAAAATGTTATTTGAGTAAATAAAAACAACATTAGAAAATAGTTTTTGAATAAATTTGATTTTTTAATAAATATTAAACTGTAAGCGCCCAAAATCTAGTCTAACTTCCTATGGCCAAACTACCTACTTCCGACAACACACCATTTTTTCTCCAGAAGTTCTCTTGCACTCCTGTATTTAAAAGGTTTAGTAAGAAAACAAGTTTAAGATTTTTTTTTCAAGTATATTTATTTCGGTAACCATTAAAAATTAATTTTTTGTCACAATCAAAATAATGAATTGAGGCTTATAATTAATTATTTCACGACAAATCCAAAGTTTCTGCTCTTCATCAAATTCCAATTACGTCAAATCTATAAGGGAATCTAAACCCTAACATACTTCCCCTCACTAGTCTTATAATAATTCCTGGGAGGATGTGTGTGGTCATTGCTAATTTTGACGATTTTACCCGTGTAATCTAGTTTCAGCTTGGCCTTGCAATGCGGGTAGTGAGTAGAGCATACCCAGGTGTTAGAGTTTGTATTCGAATACGTGTAACCATTTAACAGTAGTAGATTTTTTCCTCTCTGTGACTTTATAATTTCGTAGCGGTTTACATCTGGCAACAATTAATAATATAACACATAAATAATACGAAATATCAAATAATTAAAAAAAAACACAGTAATCGTTTAAGGCCCACATGTAGGCAGTTTTGCTATTCGCGAATTAGATTGAGAAAAACATATTCAAAACATATTTATATAAAAGTTCAATGAAGTGAATTAAAAAAAAAAACAATATTAGAATAAAAGTTTTTATTTTTAAAATATTGTTACAAATTGTCAAGCCCAAAATCTATTTGCTTTGCCAAACTACACAAATTACTGGTGAAGTACATATAGCCAAACTCACTACTGCCGAGATCACATGGTTTTTGCAATGTATTCTCAAATATTATTTATTTAAAAAAACGAAGTAAAAAAATCTCTGTTGATAAAGGAGACATGCCATAGAGTGGAGACCGCGTTTCGGTAAACGCAGTAAGGAACGCTCCGTGGCTAGATAAAGCGACTATCTGCGCACGGCGGCTGATAGCAACTGGATGCGTGAAGCAAAAGATTGAGATAAGTGCCGCGCCCTGGGGAGAGGCTTATGTCCAGCAGTGAACTGCCGGAGGCTGATGATCAATTGATAATTGATGAAGGATATTAAAGCTTGCTCCAATCAAATTTTCTAAGAAATAAAGTTCCTTATACTCTGTAAAGACGTATTACATTTATTATAAAACAATCTAAAATAAACTTCTGTGTTTTATATCTTTATTTCCTTTTTTTTTATAGGATAAGGATGACAAACGAGCACACATTCCACCTGATGGTAAGTGGTTGCTGCGGCCCATAGACATCTACATCTATCCTCTATTACAAATCAAAATGTAGATGCGTTGTCACCCGTGAGGACTAAGATGGAATGCCTCATTTCCAGTAAAAAGGGCCTCCGGCCACCTGCACTCACCAAGCGAAATGCAGAGGTAAACCTCTACTTCACGCTGGTTTTCTGTGAGGTCGTGGTACCACCCCGGTTCGAGCCGGCCCATCCGTGCGACAGCATAAGCTGCCGCGTGGCTCTATCACTGTTAAATCCTTATTCGTAATGTAAAAACATAAAATATCAATTAAGTCTTATAATTAATTCTTTCGGGATAGATCCAACTCTTCATAAAATTTCAATAAGGGGGCGTTCATTAATTAGTTGAGGTGTTTAGGGGCGTAGGGCGTCGAGCCGAATCTCAGATGATCTCACGTGGAGAAGAAGGAGGATCTCGACAAATATCATGTAATTTTTTCCGCAAGAAACAGTGTAACATTTCGAAAATATTGGGTTAAATTATGTACCATATGGCTATATCCTACACAATAATACTTATCGCGGTTATTATAACTCAAAAACATATAACAACAAATTATGTAACAATAAGTAAGCACAGAATAACGTATTTCCACTAAAAATACGCATTTTGAAAAATCTCACGTGAGATTTGGGAGGGAGGGTGAGTGGGTTGAGCAATAGTCATCTCATCAGGAGGAGGGGGAGAGTAGAAAAATCTCCAAAATCGCTTCACGTAACTAAGGGTCGCCTCCTAACGTTCGATTTGTAAAGAAACTACACTCTAATGTACTTCCCTTCACTAGTTTTCTAATACTTCCTAGGAGGATGTATGTGGGCTTTGATAACGTAGACAATTTCACCGGAACCATATAGTTTCAGCTTCACCTTGCAACCAGGTTTAGTAGAGCATACCCAGGTGTTAGAATGTGGATTCGAATGCGTGTAACCATTGCACAGAAATAGATCTTTTCCTCTCTGTGACTTTATCATATCGTAACTTTTTACGTCTGGCAACAATTAAAATGCGACAAAACATAAATAACACAAACATCGATTATTTGAAAAAAAAAAGGAATCCTATAAGACTCACTTATAGGCACTGTTATGTAAACCACGAATTACATTGAGATAAAATCAATTATATTGTACAACGTTCGTCTGTTAATGTTTTATAAATATTAAATAAAATGTTATTTGAGTAAATAAAAACAACATTAGAAAACAGTTTTTGAATAAATTTGATTTTTTAATAAATATTATATTGTACGCGCCCAAAATCTGGTCAACCTTCCTATGGCCAAACTACCTACTTCCGACAACACACCATTTTTTGCTATGAATCCTCAAACATTCTTCATATTTTATGAGGTAAAACAAAATAAAATTGCTACACTGTTATAGGAGATTAAAATTTGCTCTAATTAAATTTTCTAACATTTAGTATTTTATATTTATGTTTATTTATATTTAGTGTAAATTTTACAGAATTTAAAACTAAAATTATTTTTTTATAAGTTATTAACATTAAGTACACGATTTGTATTTTAAATTTTAATTTAGAGGTAGCCTTGCCTTAAATTTGTAGAAAATAGAATTGGAGCAGAATTTAAGCTGCTATAATAGTTTGCTCACTAAACGAAAGCCAGGTAGTTTTACTTCCTAATATAAAAAATAAATAATGATTTAAAAAGTTAAAAATAATTTATGAGTGTTAAGGACTGATTTTTCAACAGTCAGAAAGTCATCCATCGAATAAACTATAAACCTGACTGAATATAAATTTGAAATAATTGAACTATTTTATTCCTACAATTGTTTTTTTTTATATTGCATTTTATTCTATGAATAAATTTTATCTCAGGGTTGAAAAATCAGTTCTAAACAAAACAATTTTAAAAATAGATTAAAATAAATTTATAACAATTTTTTGCGATTAGATGTTAACAAATACAGTATATTTAGTTTCATACTCTTATGAATTCTCCAGTAGTAGTTTTTATAAATTTTCGGGGCGGATGACTGTGTTGATTGTAAATTTTAATTATATAGCCAGCGTCATCCAGTTTCAGCTTCGCTTTGCACGCACGGTTTTTCGTAGAGCACACCCAGTTGTTGCCATTGGTTGGTTTAGAAAAAGTATATCCTCCAACTAAGATAAGACTCTTGCCCATTTGTGATTTAACGATTTCGTATTCAGGTCCTGTTCGAAAACCGTAGTGGGTTAAAATAAATAAGATATATTTATCTTTTTTGCCATAACAAAACAGTTAATAATTGTTAAAGTTAATACAAAAAATATCACGGATAATAATTAGCTTTTAATATATTATTTTAATAAATATGCAACGAAAGACAATTTCAAAGCCATAATTTATCAAAAATAATACTTAAATATTCATAACCTGCTACAATATTAACAAGAATAAAATTCCGAATTAACAATTTTAACTTATTAAAACTAGTTACTAGAGCACTTCGCGACAATATTCTAATGGTGGATACGAACCTGCGACTTTAGTTTCGCAATTCCGTACCTTTAATTGTTAATTTATAGCTTATTGTAACTTAATTTTAGTTATCAATTGCATTAACATATTGCAATGGGCAACATGGGATAAATGTTATAAGTGCGTTAAACAATAAAGTTACGTACGGCCACTACCACTGGTTATCAGATGTCCAATGTGGTAGGGACGGATGACAAACTTGGACTTTGTTATGGCACCACACCATCTCGCTCCTTTGATGTCGTAAATATTGTAAAATAGGAGTGGCGAAATAAAGAACGAGCAAGAACGTTATTAAGTGTACGAGAAATCATGGTTTTCTTTTAGAGAAAGCGTGTGAACGTGTCCACCTAATGGTAAGTGATTGCAGTGGCCCATAGAAATGATGTACTTGTATATTGATTAAGAATCAAAATTCAGATGTGTTGTCACCCCCCTAGCAAAAGTCAAAATATTTTTATTCAAACTGGCTTTTACCAAGCACTTGTTGAAAGTTAGCCTACGCCATCGATACTACAAGTCCCTAGTCCGGGAAATCTTGTGGGATGAAGCAGCAAGAAATCCACAATAAACTATTTTTCATCCAGCAGTAACAATTTTACCTTATAAAACAACGTGCTGCAGCTATATTATAGTTGCAGCACGAATGGGCCAACTCGACCGGGGAAGGACCACACTATCACAGAATAAGTGCGTTTTTTAGTGGATAAGGGTCACACACAAAGTGCATTTTTTACAGAATACCAACGTAAAATAGCAGCTTAACACTGCTGTGTTTCGTATAGTGAGTGTAGAGAACCGGAGACCCTTTTTACTGGAAAAGAGGCATTCCATCTTAGTCCTCACGGGTGACAACGCATCTGCATTTTGATTCGCAAACGAGGATAGATGTAGATGTGTATGGGCCGCAGCAACCACTTACCATCAGGTGGAGTGTGTACTCGTTTGTCACCCTATCCTATAAAAAAATAATCCGCCTTAGTACTCAGAGGTAACAAAGTATCTGCATTTTGATTTTAATGGAGATAAAAGATGTCTCGGGCCACAGAATCCACTTAGCATCATGTGAACTGTGTGCTCGTCTGCCACCAATATTCTGTATAAAAAAAATATAAATTAGTAATAAAAGTCTCAAGCTCACAATGTTCACGCATTCTTATTTCTTAAATAGTCAACTGATTTATAATATCCATTACAGAATACTTATATTAGCTTTTTATTTATGCAAAGGCAGATCATTTATATTACAGGGAATCGTTTTAGTTTGTTAGCTGCCCGAAGTCTAGAGGGAATGTCTCGCCGATCTTAAGGGAAACCTGTTGTAACTGTTCCACGCTGGTATTCTATGACGTAATTTCATCTTTCGCATAACACGCTGTAATGTCGCTCTACCACGTAAACAATAACATTCATACGCTTTACACCGTTGACAACTTCCGACAGAATCCAAAGAAACCAGTTAAACAAATCATTACATATTGCGCTTACAAATATTTTAGCAATTTAGCCAACTAGTCGATAACATGGATTCGAATCAGAGTTACACTCGAACAAGATCTCCCGTAACGGTTCTCGCGAATTTTCTCCGTGGGTGACAGTGCTCGTTAAACAAACTAATTATGTTTCCATCTTCGTCCATCTTGAGCCGGGCTTTACAGTCCCGAAATTTAGTCGAACACACCCAATGCCTCGTACTTACTCTGGAGAAGGTGTACCCGTTGATTAGAAGCAGCTGCTTTCCTCTCTGCGACTTTATAATTTCATAGTCTACGGCTGTTTAAAGAGAAAATAACGATTTCATATTTTACATCGCTAAGGTATACATATACGAAGACAATATATAAAAACCAAGGTTCACGTTTTAATCAAACATTAAATTAGATTAGATTTTAGTTATACATCGACTCTTCATTAAAACTATTTCAATCAAAAAATAAGTGGGTCAATGAAAGCAAAGTAATGTACATATTATAAGCACCTATTAGAAAAATCGGTAGGAGGAACGAAACCAATACAAATCATAATGTAAAATTATTTAACAATATACGTAATGTCGACGTGACTTACCGCAGCGAAACGTTAGTTAAAAGTTCAAGAAACTAATAAAAATAAGACATTTTTAAGGGAAAACAGAAATAAAACTAGAATGCGATTTTTTAGTTTAATAGAATTAAACACTTGCATCATTGAAAATAAATACAAATTATACAATTAGTTTAATAGATCACATGTGATTTAGGAAATATAATTAAATAAAGAATATTAAAAATTGCTTCACAAAGGAAATGTAATGTACAATCGAAACGAAAATAAAATCCGGCAAATTAAAAATGTCCCTCTAACTTTTGTATTTGAACGTATCAAGAATAATTCCTACGTTGATCGATGATTAAGACGTTTTCTAGATATTATTAAATATTATACAGACAAACATTTTTACATGATTTCATTTTTCACTGTTTATGTGAACAAACAGGAGCTATAATTTCTTACATTTAATGTATTCTGTTATCATTTATTGTAAAGAAATAGCTTTAAGATTTTGACACTTACGCGAATTATGTACATAAATTTGGGTAGCAAAAGAATTTAACTTTATACAATATTCATAGAATTTTATATTTTCTAAAGCTGCAAAGCGGCATGTAAGCATGCAGTTCCGACATATACACAAACTGTATAAGCGAAGTGCTATTTGCCCGGAAGTATGGAAATTATAGCTTTTCCTTTTTTCCATCTACCACTACTATATGTGACGGCGAATCCCTGTACTACGGCTATGTGACGGCGGAGTCAATGACTAATTTCAAATTGTCGCACTGTTTTTGAGGGTTATAATTATGTAATTTCATGTTCAATTTCTTATTTATTATCACATAAAAAGACCTTACCTTTCGATCTTTATAAGACTATACATTTGTCATTGTACATTTCGGCAAACATCTAATTTTGATTTTTATGACTATTGTAGAAGAAAAACCTAACAGAATTATTTAAAACTTTCTAAATTAGTTGTTTCTAAAATTCTAAACTTATGTTTGTTACAAGTGCAGATAAGAAAAGGATAAAAATTTCTAGTTCGAGAGTTTAAGTTTGAAAATAAGTTGTCTAATCGTTTGTAAGAATTAACGTTCAAAAAGCGTGAGGCAATCAAATTGTATTTTCTATTTTCAATATACATAAATGTAACACAATATCTGCGAGAATTTTGCTGATTTGTTTCACAGACAGGGATACTTTCAGAGTTATCTCACTTAAATTTATTCAATAAGATTCGGTGATAATCAAATGAAGTCAGGAAATAATATTTTTATTCAATTTAATAGATGTCACCAATAGTTGTACCCAAGAGACGATATTCGATGATGGTGAGTGGAAACGAAGGGGTACTGGATTTAACACGTTTAAGTTTCTAGCTTGCAAGCTCCACCAACCTCTTCAATTCCATTCATATCACATTGATGATTGATAACCCACAACCGTCCATTTTCAATGAATTTCCTCATTAGGGACCTTAAAGGGCCTACTGCTTTCTTAAGTGCCGATAATGCACCAGCAATTCCTTTGGTGTTGCGGATGTTCACGAATGTCGGTGGTCACTTACCATCAGGTAAACCATATCGTCGTTAGCCCCTTTTCTATACAAAAAAAAAACATAGAACTGGGTGCGAAACGGTACACATATTCTCTCTTAAGAAATAAGCAAGTCTTACACTACATTCAATCAAATATGTGTGTATGCATTAATTCCATTATATGCCACATATTTACGTTTGGGTGGTGGATGAGTGTGCTCAGTAAAGGCATGCTGAATTGACCCATCGAAAGAAAGTTTTACGCGTGCTTTACATCCAGAGTCCTTCTTAGAGCAGTAAAAATTGTTTGTGTAGTTCATTTGGGAAAACGTATAGTTGCCAAAGATCAGTAAATGTTTGCCACGGCGCGTTGGTATCATTTTGTATGCAGCATTTGAAACTGTAAAAAGGAGAAAACACGGTTACACAATTAAATCTTAAAAAAATTAAGTCTTAAAATGTGTAAATACTTAATTGCTATTTGAGCTTTTCGAAGAGCCATAAAAAATTATAACTTATCTGTCAAAAAAGGTTTAGACTTAACATTTTAAGAAGAAATCTTCATGTAAACACCCGAAGCGGTAATAGTGTACTTAGGTGGATCATGATTATGACAGGGCGACTCCGATGCTATCATTCCAAAGTGATCTAATTTCACTTTTGCTCTGCAACCATGGGCTTTTTTCGAACAATAGTAGTTCGATGAACGGCTGTGTTTGGAATACGTATAGCCATTCAACATGAGCAAATTCCCGCCAAAACGTGTTCTTATAAGCTTATATCCACAGTCTGAAAATAAAATCAAATATACAGTTATACCAGAGCGCACGAGTTATATTATTAACTATCTTTATTCAAAACGCACTCACTCAGTCTGACGCATTGAAATCTATACTCACCTTAAGTTTAAACTTGTTTGGAAAGTTATATTGTCTTAAATTGTTCGAAGTTGCTGAGTTTGTGTACATGAGATAAAAAAAAATAGGATAACGGTGAAGAAGAATTAAAGTTGTTACTTATGATTTTTATAGTTGATCTGATGGTAAGTGGATGCTATGGCCCATAGACTTTTACATCAATCGTCGATTAAGAATCAACATGCAATTATGTTTTGTCGTCCCTGAAGACTAAGATGCACCTACCATACGAAACCACAACAGCATTTTTCTGCTGTTTCACGCTGGTATGAGAGAGTGGTCGAATATATAATATATGTAATATATGGACGAATGGGTTCAATCGACTGGGGTATCCCAGTCCAGTAAGCCCTTTCGTAATAGAAAAGGTATACAATAAATTGAAAGATACGCAATAAAAAGATACACTAAGAATAAAACTTCATATAGCTCCCTTCACCTGTAACAACGAATCTGCGAGTAGAATGAGCGTAATTCTGTCCGAGGCAACCTTCCGATGTCTCCTATACGGGCGCTGGGCTGGACAGCTGGCTGATCTTTAAGAGCAATAGTAAATGTTTTTGCTTGATTATTTTGTGTATTTTGGGGTAAATGTTAACCATAAAACTTTGGCAACTCCAAAAAGAATGTTCTTAATGTACGTAGAAATCACTAACACTTTAGCAATTCGATATACCGACAGTCAATTTGGCACCGCTGAAGAGACTGTGCCACCGCCCAAATTTCGACAAAGACAAAGATTTTCTCATAGACCACATATGCAAGACAAAGTGGCTCTTCGGTCTTCTGTACAATTTGCCAAAGGGCATGTATGTTGTTTTTGGTACTAAAGCCTTTTCGAAACCGAAACCGGCGTGGTCGGGAGGCTGGGAGTCGTCAAGTCTAAGTAAGAGACGATTCGTAATAATTTTTTTTTATATTATGCTAAGCCAGCGCTTAACTACAATCCCACCTAATGGTAAGTGGTGATGTAACGTAAAATGGTGAAGCGCACTAACTTAACAAAATTAATGAAAAAGCAAGTAGACGCGGCATTGAAGGGAAATCGGTCTGCACTTATTCGATAGAGCATTGTTGCCTTAAATAACATGACCACCGCACTTGTGTTCTAGGCCTTAGTACTGCCACCATGGAAGACGACGAAGAAGCAGATAAAAAAAACAAAACATTTGAACCTGGCTCACGAGATAACCAACATGTGGGGACCAACAAATTATTCTTGTAGTCGTTTCTGTCACCTGGCTATTTCCGGTCAGCCGTTCAAGTCACCTAAAACTACGACTGCTTGACGGACCGATCCAGGCTCAAATGCAGAAGGCGGTTACTCCGCGATACCACCTGTATCATCCATTGGTTTCTTTCTCTTTCCTCCTAAACCTCGGCAGTTTGCTCGTGTGTTTGGATTTTTTTCTTTAAGTTCAGTATAAAAAATTTGATTTCATTTCATATTTAATCTATTTATATATCAGGTATCGTTACCGTTACAGGGCAAGATACATATAAAAATTTAATAATAATAATAATAATAAAAAAATGGCGGACGTTGTCAAAAGTAAATGATGCAGTCAGTACAAAATCTTAAAAATTATTTTTTGTAGCATATGTTTCAAGTTCCCAAATAACAAATTTTCAACGCAAATAGATTTTACAATATCAATATAAATAAAAACTTTAAAAATCTGTGGATAAGAAACTAATTTCAAGAAAAATGTATTTCTTTCAAATTGACAACTGTCATCTAAGAAATTTTACAAACAGATTTATAAAATATTTAATTTAACGTAACATTATGCATCAACGAGACGACAAAGACGAATAAATACCGCCAATACCACAATCGCACACGTAACATCGCCTACGGAGGACTACACATCCATGGAATGTAATCCTAGAGGCACAAGAAGAACCCCCGTACCATCTTTGAGGGGACGAAGAGCGCCACCGGCTGGCTTGGGATCTGCAGGAATTACCATCCTACAAGAGGACCCCGCTACTGATGGTGTAGTGCGACGACGCATGCGCTGGACTAAAGAATTAAATATAAGTGTTATGCGCGCGTACTATAAGGCTACCAAAGGAGGAACCAATCTTACATCTTATCGCCCTAAAATGCTATCTGAATTCCAACAGCTACAGCCCAACCTAACAAACTTAACTGCCCAAAGACTTTCAGATCAAGTACGTGTCATTCTAAGTCGTAAGATTTTGGATGACAGATTACTTGAACAACTTTGCAGTGAGTACTCAACGTCTTCTATCAATTCAATTCCTGATTCCCAACGAACACTTCCAGGTGAGACTGATGACTTAAATGTTAATAACAATAACCATAATATAAATATTACTAACTTAAACAACGAAAAAGTAGAGCAAAATTGTTTTGATATAGATGTGAGTTCCCAGGACAGCGAATATATAAGAAGGACTTTCGAATGTTCTCTTCTGGAATATAAAAACACACCTATAGAAAATAGACCGAAACTACCTAAACTTCCTAACAACAAAAAAACTATATTAACAGTAGCATCAATGAATGTTCTATGTAAAGATTATTTTGAAAAAAGTAATTCTATTTTGGAAACTATGTCTCTTCTGTTGTGCCCATGCTGTATGTATGATAATGAAAATTCCTATCATTTCAGTACAAAATTTTAAGAAAAATAATACAGAACCTAAATGGAAACAAAGAATTCAAAAACGAATTGACAATACTCGCAAAATTATAGGAAAATTAATAAGCTATCAAACAGGTAACAGGCGTAAAAAAATAATTACTTTAGTAAATCAAATCTCTAATGAAAATAATATTATCCATTTAGATCCCCATTTTCCGGATAAAATTACTGAGTACATTGATACGCAAAAACAAAAGTTAAAAGCATGGGCCAACCGTATTAGACGATATTCAGAAAGGTCTAAACGGTACTTCCAAAATCGCACATTCGAAAGTAACCAAAAGTGGGTGTATCAATCTTGGGAGAGCACTACAACTAATAGTTGTACTCATGGCAGCCCAAGCTTAATTGAATGTCTAAATTTTTGGAAAAATATGTGGTCTAATGAAGTTTCTCATAATGAAGGCGAATGGATTCGGGCAACCGAACGTAAGTTTTCTAATTTGGCTAACATGGGTTCTATCTCAATTACTGCTGAAGATGTATACTCAATTACTCGTAGATTACACATTTGGAAATCACCTGGACCAGATGGTATACACAACTTTTGGCTGAAATGGATAACAAGTAGCCATGTGCGTTTGGCTGCACAGATTCAAGAAGCCATTGAGTGCTGTGAGCTCCCGAGACTTCTTACAACTGGTACTACCCACTTACTATATAAAAATGGAAACACCACGGAACCTAAAAATTACCGACCTATAACATGCCTTTCAACTGTATACAAATTAATAACTGCAATTTTAAATAATAAGATCTATAAACATTTGGAAAATAATAACATTCTGTCAACCGCACAGAACGGATGTCGGAAAGGGTCACGTGGTTGTAAAGAACTTCTTCTCATTGACACAGCTATTTGCCGACAAGTTTTTCGTAATCGCAAAAATATGTCCGCTGCTTGGGTGGATTACAAAAAGGCATATGACTCTGTTCCACATTCATGGCTAAAGAGAGTTTTAGAAATATATAAAATAGATGAAAAAATTTGTAAGTTTTTAAGTAAATTAATGGGTCAGTGGAACACTATCCTAAATCTACCAGGTAAGTGGCAAAGTAGTTCGATAGACTCTATAAATATTAAGCGGGGTATATTCCAGGGCGATAGTTTGAGCCCTACTTGGTTTTGTTTAGCCCTGAATCCTTTAAGCACTGTTATTGAGGAATCTGGATTAGGATTTCGGTTTCGAAAAGAAAACTCACCCATCTCACATCTACTTTACATGGATGATCTCAAGCTATTCACATCAAAAGAGAGTGATCTATTATTATTGTTGAAATTAACACATAGTTTCAACAAAGATATTAGAATGGAATTTGGAATAGATAAATGTTCTGTCATCAACGTAAATAGGGGCAAAATTAAAGATTGTAATAATTTTGCAATTACAGATGACTTACATTTCAGTTCTCTTTCTGAAACAGAAACCTATAAATACTTGGGCATGGCAGAAGCGCTAGGAATTAATGACAAAAACATTAAAGAAAATTCAAAAGTAAAATTTATGTCAAGATTAAAAAAAGTTATCAAAAGTCATTTAAAAAAATTAGAGCATATAATTCCTGGGTAATACCTAGCCTTCTATATACTTTCGGTATTACAAGATGGTCTCAAACGGAATTGGATGACTTAGATAGACGAGTCCGCACATTAATGACTACGCACAGAATGCACCACCCGCGATCATCTGTCATGAGGTTGTATCTTCCAAGAAAAGATGGTGGACGGGGCTTATTAAACATTAAAAACCTACACAACCGTGAAGTATACAACCTCAGAGACTATTTTATTAAAAAGAAAGACACATCACGCATTCATAGTGACGTAGTGATTAATGACAAATCATTAACCCCGCTTAATATGTCGGCAAAGGACTGGCAGAGGCCTCATACTATGACTATAGAAGAACGCAAAAAGGTTTGGAATGACAAACAACTGCATGGTCGATTTTTTAAAACATTGACTAATCCTTGTGTAGACATGGTTGCATCAGTACATTGGTTACAGTTTGGTGACCTTTTTGCAGAAACTGAAGGGTTTATCTGTGCAATACAAGACGAAGTAATTAAAACGAATAACTACCGGAAGTACATTTTGAGGGATGGCACAGTTGACGTATGTCGCGCATGTCACCACCCTGGAGAGTCCCTCAGACATGTTATTTCCGGTTGTTCACAACTATCAAATGGCGAGTATTTGCACAGACATAACCAAGTAGCTAGAATAATACACCAACAGCTTGCGATTAAATTTGGTTTTACTCAACAGGACGTTCCATAT